CCTATTTCGAGATACGAACCCTTGATTAATATAATGCACTTCAAAATGGAAATTCACAAAAGAGAATACTTCAATCCCCAAGTTCCCGGTGCGTGTACGTCCAATGGGATATCCTAAGGTCCGATTACAGGTTTGGGAATCGCTTCCAATCGTACGGTTATCGCTAATCCCCAAACTTTGAATTATTGAATCGGAACATCCGGGGCTCCGATTCACGATCCGCGAATTCCTATAGGATTCTAAGAGTACCTAGATCAACATACTTCAATTTGGAAATTATCCAACCGTTAGAACCTATCGAACCTGGATAACGCACACTATGCGAAATCCGTTCGATAGTCAAACGACATCCGAATTGAGATCCATAAAATCCTACGCACTCATGACAACCTAAGGATCTCATCAGGATAAAATGCAGCTCCACTACCCTTGCCTACGCGCCGCCACACGCGCCGGCAGTGCGTGGGTGTGTAGAGAAATTTTCGGTGACGGAAAATCTCCAAATCACAAGCCACCCTTCCAATCCTGGTCGACGAATGGAGCATCTTTTTCAACTACCACAAGGTCCAATTCGTACGGGAACTGGCCGGAATTTCAAATTGAAAACCGGCCAAAACCTAGCTTCCAAAATCAACTTCCAAACTTCAAAATCGTTCCAATTCTAAGCAACAGTCAGCTAGAACACGTAAAAAGAGGAAGAAAACCCATCAATTTTACCTGAAATGGACGGTGGAGGCGGCGGCGCAACGATCGGAAACTTCCGGTTCGAAACAGTCGATACCATCGACGATTCTCGGGCTTTCCAGCAAGGAAATTAGGTGGGGCTTGATCGGGACTTCATGACGAGTCGAACCGGACCGTTCTCGAGGGCTGAGGTGGCCGGACGTGACGGCTGTGAGGGGTTTTCCGGTTCAGTGAACAGTGAAACATGGGGGGAAGGGTTTTACGCAGAGGGGAAAATCGGGAGAGAGAGAGAGAGAGAGAGAGAGAGAGAGAGAGTGTGTGTGTGTGTGTGTGTGGAGTAAAAGTGAAAAATCTGATTTTTACCAAACTTTTTGAAATAATTACGGTTCCGCCATCGAACTTAATTTGCTTGCCAAAACTTCATTACAACTCCGATTCAAGCTTACCGCATGTCTACAGATTCGTCTCAGTACCACCTACGCAACCAAACCACTCGTGGTCCAAAATCTTTCTGGATAAGAAAATGACTAAAATTACCCTTAATCCAAGGGTAAATTCATAATTCACTTAATTTAATTAAAATAGGAATAAATTGGAGTCGGGGTGTTACAAATAGATTTAGGAATTTATTATTTACTTGCCCATTCATGTTTCGTTGTATTATAAATATGACCTTCTACAAGGAGCAGAATACACAGAAAATTCCCACAAATAAATATTCTCTCATAGTTTTCATATTTTAGCATGGTATCAGAGCGGCAATTTTGGAATTGCTGACTTTAGTTTCAAACCCCCACCGCCGTTATGGAGGTTGATGATTTTTTCAAAGGTAGCACCACCGACTCCTTCTCTCCTTCTCAACCAACCATAGCTAAGTTGAGTGCCCATATGGCTCAGCTCCTACAGATGCAGACTTTGGCCCTGAATCTGATCCTGAATCAGGATCCTATTTTGATGACCCCGAACCTGATCCGGAATCAGGATCCTATTTTGACGACTCTGAACCCGACCCCGACTATGATGATGACGACCTCGACCTCGACTCTGAAGACGACCCCGAACCCTACTCCGATGATGACCCTAACCCTGAATTTGTCTCTGATTCAGACCCCGACCCCGATTTCGACTCCGACTCAGGCTCAGATCCCGATCTGAATTCCTACTCAACCTGTATCCTATGCATCTTCCGCTGCATAGATTATGACTTCTCGACTAATGACCCTGACACATGGACCAGATTGCGCATATTATGCTGATCCGAGACACACTCTTGAAACTTGTTTTAAATTGCATGGCTACCCCGATTGGTGGGCTACTTTTAAAGAGCGAAGACAATGCAATATGACCAGTAATGGTACTGGTTATAGATTCCATACTTCCGATAAGATTGATTCCAAAAGCTGGATAATTGATTCTGGTGCAACTGATCATATGACGTTTGATCCTGATGATAATACTACACAACCTTGATGAACCTGTATTGCAAATGCCAATGGCGTTACTTATCCTGTGACGGGGGCTGGCACTGTTGCACTCTCATCCTCTCTCACATTATCTAATACTTTACTTGTTCCATCTTTACCCACTAAATTGTTGTCAGTTAGTCAGCTTACTGAACAATTGAATTGTTGTGTACTCATTTACCCGAGTTTTTGTTTGCTTCAGGATATTCACACTAAGGAGATTTTTGGTCGTGGTACTAAGAGAGAGGGGCTATATTATGTCGATGACTTCAATCCCTATGTGGCTAACAGTGTGACGCATCCCTTTGATAGCAAACAAAAACAAATATGGTTGTGGCACCGTCGATTGGGACATCCGTCTTTTAGTTATATAAAGCATCTTATACTCGATTTATTCTCAGGTTTCAAGGACTGACTTCACATGTGATACTTGTATTTTGGCCAAGAGTCACCGTGTGCTCTACCCGTTGAATACGAACAAGTGTACTACTCCATTTACGTTAATTCACTCTGATGTCTGGGGACCTTCCCCTATCACTGCTCCTTCTGGTGTTTGATTGTTTTTCACATTCATAGATGATTGTACACGAATGACATGGCTTTATTTGCTAAAGAAT